CCAAAAGCATTCTGTGCCAGTCGAACCTTTGGGTGATGTAGAGTGTAGTTAACTGTAGGTGCAAGAAGCAAACAAATATTTTTTTTATTTGATTCGACGACAGTCGGGCACTCGGTATACCTGATGGTAAGCAATCAGCGCCGCCCATGGGTACCCGCAACAACAATGGAGCTACGAGCGCGTTGACGACGTTTTGAGGATTAGGGATTTGTTAATTTTGAGATTGGGGGAGTGAAAGGATACTATATTCACTTACATAAATCATATTGAAAAATAATATCAGAAATATCTTACCTATATTGAAAACTTTGAGCATCGCTGTCCGGTCTACAATATCCGATACGCCGGGGGCTACATCGTGACTGTGTTCAGAAAACTTGCTCATGTCGATGTCGGGAGGTCGGAGCACCTTTTAATATACTCCCCATGTTGGATGAACAAACATCGGTCGGATGAGGATCCACTGGACAACAGGACATGTCCTGAATAGATAGTTTTTATTAATCTATTTTTAGCAGACGATCACCAATGGTAAGCAATCTTAATCCTAATTTTAAGTGTGGGAGAGCCATGCTTCTGCTCGAATGGGTCAGCTCGACCGGAGTGATACCATGGCCTCGTAAAAACCGTTGTGAAACAACTACAGCGTTGTGTTCCGCCGTGTGAGGCTTACCGGATTATTATTACCAGATTACATATGTACAAACTTACAAATTTTAAGCCTCTCTATAATAATAGTATAGAAAAAAAATCGGTGTCGTCCATGGATACCTGCAACAATTACAAGTACGATAACGGCCTTGAGGATTTGGGGATTGAGGAGTGGTTTTTAGCTAGTTTCGGGAATTACAATTTATAAGTGCAGGTTTCCTCACGATGTTTTCCTTCACCGTATATCAGAGGTGTCTAAATAATCATAGAAAGTACATTATAACTCGGAAAAAGTCACATTGGTACTTGCCAGGTTTTGGACCCGAACCAAGGTATGAGAAGCGGGCTCCTTAACCTCCACGATATTTTTTAACCAAATTGAACTACAATTCAGTGAATTGACTGATTCAATATACCAGATAGAATCACATGAAAATATTTTGCATTCAGATCCCTGCGAACAATATCCTGTGGACCGCCGCGAGCTATGCTTGCATTCACAATTTTGTATTATATTCTGTCATTTGTGATATACTGCACTTCCGTTCCAATGTTGAGGGCACAACATTTACATTTGATTCAGTATACAGAAATGTGATGAAGAGAACCATAAAACAATGAAGGATAACTTTATACACATTTCTTTAAAGTATATTTTAGCAAACGAGCTGACGGATTACCTGATGGTAAACAATCAGCGCAACACCAAAAGAGTTAAGAATGCGTTGCCGGTGTTTAAAGGATAAGGGGTATTTAAGGATTGGGAATGGATGGTGGAAGGGTTAGGCCTCCGGTCAACTCACTCACACGGCGAAACACAACGCTGTGGTTGTTTCACGCCGATTTTCTATAAGGCAGTGGTGTCACTCCGGTCGAGCCGACCCATTCGTGCCGAAGCTTGGCTCTCTAACACTTAGACATTTGATTTTGAATTTCGTTTTCTTTTGAAAAGTCATCGATTGACGCGATAAGAAGCGTCTGACTCTTACTGACCAAGTAATGTACCGTGGCTCTGCTTCGAGCTGGATCAGGAGAGTAACTGAGTGGTTATTAATCTTCGCACGGGTGCAATGGTGGCACTAAATTTATGCACTATAATGGAGATTATTATACATATAAACCTTCCTCAATCACTCTAATCTATTATAAAACCGCATCAAAATCCGTTGCGTCGTTTTAAAGGTTTATGTTTGCTTGCATTCTAGGACTGATAGAGATATAGGGGCAAAGAAGACGACTTTGTTTTAAACTGGTCTGAAATTCTAGCTCAACCTAGGCAGGGAAAAGTCATTCGATGATTTGAGAGGGCGAGTGAGGTCATTGAATAATTTTCCCACAAAAAAAACTCAAATACTGTGACAACCTTGTATGTAAAACTTCGTTACCTTTAATAACTTTGAGGGCCACTGGTCTCGCTACAATATCCCGGGGCCGCGACACAGTCCCGGAATCCGAGAATGTTGCATTACTCAGGTATTTATATTTGTTTTCAACCCTTCTGCTCAAGCCGCGCGCCGCGGGGTGACTTGCTGTAGTATTTTTGTAATGAAATCTTGTTTTGTATGTTTGTTCATTTCTAATGTTTAGGTATTCGTAGACTGCTTTGTTGACCTTGTGTTATAAAATCAATAAGTGATCTTGAATTCGGTGTTCGGGTTTGATGTTAAAAGGCATAATGACAGAGTATGTAAATTAAACGCGTTTTCGAAATCTGGCAACTACCAATGTGACGTTTTCCGAGTCATATATACTTTCTATAATTATTTAGACACCACTGTCATACGGTGAAGGTAAACATTGTGAGGAAATCTGGACTTATAATTTCTTATTATAAGTTTGAAATCGCCAATCCGCATTGAGCAAGCGTGGACAACCTAATGCACAAACCACCTCCATACACTTATACAAATATCGATTTGGATGATCTTGGAATTGATTTTAAAAGTTTTCCCACCCAGAGACATTTTTTGACTGTCGACGGAGTCTAAAAATGTTGAGAAACACTGTCCTACATGGCGATATTAAATATTTTTCTCATAAGTCTATGTTTATAATGTACTCTGAATAATGTAAGAAATATTATGTTTTTTTCTTTATTGTGTTTATTAAATGTATGCCGAGTAGAATAGGTACATTTGTCAACCAACCCTACTATTCCCGTGGGTGTCTCATATGGGTACGGTAATAGTAGGTAGAGTCGAAGCATGGCTTTCCCACACTTAAATTTATGAAGTCTGTGTATCAAATAGCACACTTATTCCTAGCTAGCTAAAATTACCCTTATCGTGAAATCAAGGTTTTTTTATGGAATAGGACGGCAAACGAGCAGACTGATTACCTGATGGTAAGCAATCAGCGCCGCCCATAGACACCCGCAACGGAGGAGTTACTAGTGCGTTGCCGACTTTTTAGGGATTAGGGTTTTGGAGATTTAGGGATTGGGAGGGATCGGGGGAAGGGAAGGATTGGGCCTCCGGTAACCTCACTCACACGGCGAAACACAACGCTGTGGTTGTGTCACGTCGGTATTCTGTGAGGCCGGGGTATCACTCCGATCGAGCCGAACCATTCGTGCCGAAGCATGGCTCTTCTACACTTTAAATTGTGTGTTTAATATATGTGGAAATATTTTTTCTCCTTTAAAATCGAGTTTTGCATTAATAAAATCATCCAGGGTAAAAGTAGCCTATATGTATATGTTATTCCAGACTATAATCTATCTCTGTGCCAAATTACATTCAGATCCGTTCTGTAGTGTTTACGTGAGAGAGTAACAAACATCCATCCGTACTTACACACATTCGCGTTTATAATATTATTATATTAGTAGAAATCCATACCATATTACTAAGTCTAGCGAGAATGGGTAAACTTGTACTGTATCAACTTCGTCCGGCCAGAGTTTCAAAGTACTTGTGCTTGGGGGGTAGGCATAGTAGGTACAGGTGGAATAACTACATAGATATTAGTGTGTATATATTATGACTCATATAATTAACTAGCTTTTGCCCACGACTTCGTTCGCGTGGTACAGTGTCTTACTGCAGATTTTGGTTCAGTTCCAGATCTCGCGGGATTTTTGAAAAGTTCCCACTTCAACATCGAAACTATCCTATGTCTTGTATCAAGTTCCAAACTATATCTGTACCAAATTTCAGACAAATCGGTTCAGTAGCTTAGGCGTGAAGAAAAGACAGACAGACAGACAGAGTTACTTTCGCATTTATAATATTAGTTTGAATGGACGTTTGTTGTGGTATATCGTAATTGCTACTACTTTACTCATTTTTATATTTTAGTAAAGTAAATATGAAAATGTTCAACAAACACATAAAAACTACACGTTACGCCATTTGTATTATTACCAGTTTATACCGCCGCGATCCGCTTCAATCCGGCCGTATCCGCTTTCTGCCGGATTCGACTGGAACATACATATGCATAAACTATTATATGCAAAAGGTGGATATTTTTTTATTTGTATCACGTTTTTGCGGATCAAATATTATAAAAATATTGTTGAATGGAATGCCCTATACGTATATTGGTTGCTATAAATGTATAGAGAGAAAAAAAAGAGAAAATTCAGAATTAAAAAAGAGCAACAATGGATTTTTTCCCTACAAACAAAATATAGGAAACCTCTTTAGTTTGCAAATGGCGTCATAATATTCAGTCATATTGGAGCCCCACCTTGAGCAAGCGTGGTGGTTAATGCTCAAACCTTCTCCGTGTGAGAAGAGGCCTTTGCTCAGCAGTGGGCACCTTTTTATGTGATAGGCATACGAGCAGTCGGATTACCTAATGGTAAGCAATCGGCTCCGGCCATGGACACAACAACACGAGAATTTACGAGTGCCGCCACATCACATAAAAAGCAGTTTTTGAAAGCCCTCAATTTTGCGACGCCATTAAGCTGTGTCTGTTATTTCCATTTAAGACCCTTGTACCTATATTACCTTAAAATCCAAATAAACGTGCGCACTCGAAGAGCCAGTAGACCACAGGCGGGGCCCTATAGGGCTGATGTTCAGCCGGGGTTGCGGGGTAAGCCCAATGAGTCACCGCGGCCTCAGCCCAGAGCTGGAGAAGGAACAGGGGGGTTTAGTCAGCAAGAGTCTGACAGTCTTTCTCGCCTTACCCTGGGCGGGAGAAGTCATTTGACGATTTTCCTTTGACAAATAAAAAATATGCTAATAAAGAATGAGTTTGATTTTGTCCAATTCAAACCAGTAGTTTTGGAGATTGGCTCGTTTAAACTAACATACGAACTCTTAAGCTTTACAGTGTGAGAATAATAATTCTAGACTTTAAAACTGTTCTAACAGAGTTCCTGCTTATCTTTCCAGGTCAAGATGTGGACATCACCCCTCGTGAAGCAGTACGAAGGATCGGAGACCAGCTCAGTGTCCTCTGCAAAGTGCCATACCCCATTGACTCCTGCAGGTCAGTAGCAAAATTTCTACTAATTACTTCTGAAGATGCTGTGTCCCTAGTACTTGAAATTCTATTAAAAAACCGATTGAAAAGAGTAACCATGGAGTTTGTTGGCCGGTTTTTTTTTTATGTAATAGGTCGGCAAACGAGCAGACGGATTACCTGATGGTAAGCAATCAGCGCCGCCCATGGACACCAGCAACGGAGGAGTTAAGAGTGCATTGCCGACCTTTTAGGGACTAGGGATTAAGGATTTGGAGATTTAGGGATTGAGGAGGGATTGGGGGAGGGGAAGGATTGGGCCTCCGGTAACCTCACTCACACGGCGAAACACAACGCTGTGGTTGTTTCACATCGGTTTTCTGTGAGGCCGTGGTATCACTCCGGTCGAGCCGACCCATTCGTGCCGAAGTTCTTCTCCATTGGGGATCTATACTCAGAGACTCCATACTTATAGACCAGAATCAGAAATTTTGACAAAATCTGTGATTTCTGAGAACGTTTTCAAGATTTTGGAAAAAAAATATCTGCCTAGAAACCTTCTCTGGACTTCCACGAATAATTAAAGACCAAAATAAGCCAAATCGGTAAAGGCATTGTTGAGTTATAACGTTACAACAACGAAAAGTGGCATTGATCTAGCAGACCCAGCCACGCGTTGCTGTGGCTAAAGTTCTTGTCATATGACATAATGGACAAATAATTAGCAACAAAATAATATTGTGACTATAAATTGAGATGTAAGCTATCCTATCTTTCAAGTTGGATCAAAATGCACACGGAATGCAAATCAAATTTATAATCGGTTTAGTAGTTTAGGAGTCCATCGCAGACAAACACGTGACACGGATTTTTTTTTTTATATAAGATTTATAGAATAGATTTTTTTTTATGTAATAAGTCGGCAAACGAGCAGACGGATTACCTGATGGTAAGCAATCAACGTCGCCCTTGGACACTCGCAACGGAGAAGTTACGAGTCCGTTGCCGACCTTTTAGGGATTAGGGATTTTGAGATTTAGGGATTGGGGAAGGGTCCGGGAAGGGGAAGGATTGAGCCTCCGGTATCCTCACTCACACGGCGAAACACAACGCTGTGGTTGTTTCACGCCGGTTTTCTGTGAGGCCGTGGTATCACTCCGGTCGAGCCGACCCATTCGTGCCGAAGCATGGCTCTCCCACACTTAAATAGATTAACGAATACTCTTTCTTTCCATTTCAGAATGACAGTGGGCACCACCTCCTATCGGCTGATACCTGAGAACCTGCAGGGAGACGTGGTCTACACAGGCCAGGGACTTAAGGTAAAGACCACCATTACAAAACCCCTTGAGCTTACCCTTCAGCTCTTCGAAGCCAACTTACTAAAACTCGCGTTTTGGCTTTACGGATCTCTTACGGTACGGCTATACCTGATGGTAAGCAATCAGCGCCCGCCACAACAGAGGAGTTAGGAGTACGTTGCCGAACATTAGGAGATTAGGGATTTAGAGATTTAGGGATTGGCGGAAAGGAAGATTTGGGCCTCCGGTAACCTCATTCACGCGGCTAAACATAACGCTGTGATTGTTTCACGCCGGTTTTCTGTGAGGCCGTGGTATCACTCCGGTCGAGCCGTGCCGAAACATGGCTCTTCTTGGATGTGGGAGAGTCATGCTTCACACATCCTCTCTTCTCCATCCACAACCTTACTCACGCAATACTTAAAGAAATCCGGCGTGCAACAACCACAGCGTTGTGTTTCGCCGTGTGAATGAGGTTACCGGAGGCCTAATCCTTGCCCTCCACCCATCCCTAGATATCTACAAAATCCTAATCCCTAAAAGGTCGGCAACGCACTCCTAACTCCTGGTGTCCATGTCTACTAATTTAAAAAAAAATATTGTTATCACAGAATTTTAGTATGTAGAAGTGTGGAACTTGTAATAAAATTGTTATCTTTCTGTGTGACGCGATGTATGTCAAGTAAATATATAATTAATTAATTAAATGTAAATTGGTTGATTTTGCTAATTCGAATCGAATGCGGGTTTTTCAAAGTCAACTTTTTTTGTATTAATTTATCCGACTGTTTTATCGAAAATATATTTAAAACTAAATCCCGACCACGGCTTCGCCCGTGTCCCGTGTAGTATGTTGATGAAAAGTAGCCTATGTGTTAATCCAGCGAATCACCTATGTACATATCAATGTCACGCAATTTTTCAAAAAAAAAAAATAACAAAAATACAATCATAGTTTAGGTACCGATCTAGGTATAAAAAAGGCTACTTTTACTATTTTAAAAAGTGATTTGTCATAAAACAAAGGGCTTTGATGCTTGCCAAATGTGTTTTGGTTATTTTGAATTTGTCAGCATTGATTTCTGTCGAAAGGAACTCACGTGAATGAACTGAAAGAACATCTACTAGTTAGTACTAGTACTCATGTGGTGCTTACCTATAAGTAATTGTGACACTAGATTAAGTATCTCATAAGTCATAAACTTGTAAATTATAGTGTTAACAGTTGTTGGTGAGCCAATAAATAAAATAAAATAAAACAAAATAGTTTGAAGTCACAACGGGACTTATTCGTGACTAGTTACTCTCACGTGGTTACACCCGCTGCTCAGCTAAAGCTTAAGATCATAGCGTGATGTTTTATAGCCTATAGCCTTCTTCGATAAATGTACAAACAAACACAAAAAGAATGATTCAATTCGAACCAGTTGTTTCAGAGATTAGCGCGTTTAAACTAACAAACAGCTTTAGATCTATACTAACTAATAATATAAAGAGGTACGATTTGTAAGTTTGTATGTAGGAGGTAATCTTTGGAACCGCTGGTCGGATTGCCGAAATTCTTTCACTGGTAGATAGCTACAATGTTCTGGAGTGCTATAGGCTACGCTACGATTAAATGGAGCCGAGCAGCGAGTGAAAACGCGCGACAATAGCTAGTAATATTATAAAGTATAGAAGAAATGTGTATGCATGGTATGATATAGTTTCTAATCTGGTTCACCATTTTTCCCCAGGCTGGCCAATGTGGAGCTCTAATAAAGAACATCAAGGAGGAGTGGAATGGAAACATCACCTGCGTACTCCCGCCCCCCTCAGGGAACATCGAGCTGGTCGGATCCATGAGGCTGCTGGTTGCAAGTATGTATACCACCACTTTCTAATAGTATTTTACGAAGAATAGTTTGACTGGGTAGCCCACGGGAAGATTTCGTGTGTGTCTCATACCCGATTGAGGTGGAGACCTGGTATCAGCGGTGTCTGATTAACCTGAAACTTTCAAACTGCCACCTGATCTTCAAATAAGGGGATGGTGGAGATTAAGCCTGGAGGAGCCAAGCTTCGGCACAAGGGGAGTGGCAGGAGAGGAGAGGCACCACGACCTCACAGAAAACCAACGTGAAACAACCAGCGTTGTGTTTCCTCTCCCCCGAGCCCTCCCAATCCCAAATTCTCAAAAGGTCGGCAATGCACCCGTTATTCCTTCATTGTTGCTCTATGGGTGTTCATAGGCGGCGCCACGGGGCGGCGCCGATTGCTTACCATCAGGTAACCGTTTGCCCGTTTTGCCAAACTTCCAAATAAAAGAATAATGGAAATTCCACTCTCAGAAGTGCCTTGGACAGATAATAATAAGTTTCTTACCGTTTCTAGGAGCCCCTGGTGAAATCCAGCTGAACTCCTCACCTCAGCCACCTTTCAAGGAAGGAGATACGTTCATGGCGCAGTGCGTGGTGCCCAATGGAAGACCAGCTGCCAAGATCACCTGGTTCTTGGGTAAGTAGATCAAATTGGAGAGAGATTTTAAGAAAGGCTACATTTGGGTCAAAAATAAATCAATTCGGCGTTACATTACTTACAATAAAATAAATATATACTTTTATTCATCGATTTTTCGATTTTTGGTAGCTAATTATTAAGATATAAGTAAGCTAGGTAACGCAAATATTAATAGTATAACGTCATAATTCAAAGTTTTCACATTTTTGCTACTTTTTTTAAGAAGTAGGTACTAGCTACTCTCGCGCTGTTTCACCCGCTGCTCGGATCCATTTGTATAGTAGCGTGATGTTTTATAGCCTATAGCACTCAGGAACATTGTAGCTATATATCAGTGAAAGAATTTTGGCAATCCGACTAGCGGTTCCAAATATTACCCCCTACATGTAAACTTACTTACCTCTTTATAATATTAGTATACTTAGATATAACAACCAAAAAAAATATTAATAAAAAAGCGCTTGTTACGATCTGAGGAACCCTCGAATATTTGATTATAAATCCAAAATAGCCAATCAGCCTTGAGCAAGCGTGGTGGTTAATGCTCAAACCTTCTCCGTGTGAGAAGAGACCTTTGCTCAGCAGTGGGCACTTATAGGCTGATGATGATGATGATGTGTGTTAAGAAACAATACTCATGACACCTCTTCTTTTCCAGGATCGGAAGAACTCCTCCACGGCACCCACCAGCCAGTCATAACATCAGAACCAGGGTCTGACTTGAAGACCATCAGTCAGAATGTCACCAGAACCCTAACTGATCAGGACGATGCCAAGTTTTTGGTCTGCAGAGCTGAACACGAGGCCTTGGAGAAACCCAAGGAGTTTAGGATTCAACTGAATGTGAACTGTAAGTAAAAAATGTTCTGTTTTTAATGGTACAAAGTCGCTTTCTCAGTCCCTATATCCCTATATACGCTTAAATCTTTAAAACTACGCAACGGATTTTGATGCGGTTTTTTAATAGATAGAGTGATTGAAGAGGAAGGTTTATATGTATAATAACATCCATTAAATAGTAGAGACATTTAGTATCAGCATTGCACACTTGGGAAGCCAGGACAGGTCGTTAGTGTGTACTTTCTTAGTCTTTCTGCTTTGTAGTGACGATAGAGTTGGATACATCTGGTCACCTGGTCTAGTATCATAGGGGTATATGATAATAGACCACTGGTAACCTCACTCACACGGCAAAATACAACGCTGTGGTTGTTTCACGCCGGTTTTCTGCGAGGCCGTGGTATCACTCCGGTCGAGCCGACCCATTCGTGCCGAAGCATGGCTCTCCCACAATTAAAAAAGTGTATGTGTCGACTATCTACTATCTTGACCTTCAGAAGTAGCTCATAATCCAATTTTATCCATCCACAGACCCTCCCAAACGCCAGGAGACAGGCACCGTCACAATCTTTGGCCTCAAGCTAGGAGCTGAAGGTAAGCTGAACGTGACTGTGAAGGCCAACCCCCCACCATCGGCCGAGTGGAGCATCGGAGACCAGGTCCTTCAGGCCCCCAGGCAGACTGAAAACGGAGAGATCATTGCACAGGCCCCATTGTTTTTGGTAAGTCAAAATTAACAAACAATTTGGAGAATATCCTTCTTATATTAAAAACGCGAAAGTGTGTAAGTACGGATGGATGTTTGTTACACTCTCACGTAAACACTACTAAACGGATCTGAATGTAATTTGGCACAGAGATAGATCACTAGCTTCCGCTAGCGGCTTTGTCCGCGTGGTATGTTGATAAATAGTAACCTTTGTCCTATTCCGGCGTGTATCCTTTCTCTGTGCCCATTTCAACCAGATCCATCGAGCAGTGTTAGCGTTATTCAGTAACAAACATCCAATCATCGTAACTTTCGCATTTATTATATTACTAGCTACTCTCGCGCGGTTTCACCCGCTGCTCGGTTCGATTTAATAGTAGCGTGATGTTTTATAGCCTATAGCACTCAGGAACATTGTAGCTATCTACCAGTAAAAGAATTTTGGCAATCCGACCAGCGGTTCCAAAGATTACCCCCTACATACAAGCTTACAAATTTTACCTCTTTATAATATTAGTATAGAAGTATAGATTAAGATTAGTCCGTTGTTAGTCTCTCTTATAATGTAATCTCTCTCTCACCAGGGTAATGGATACTTCAACATTACTCTGATACTGGCTCGTATCACAAAAGAAGATGTCGACAGAACTTACTTCCTCCGAGTGGCTAACGACTTCGGAAGGGAGGAGATCGCAGTGAGGATCAGCACGATGGATGAACCAGCTGGTAAGTTCAATGTCGATTATAAACCTTTTTTTTGTATTAAATAGGTCGGCAAACGAGCTGACGGATTACCTGATGGTAAGCAATCAGCGCCAGATCAGCGTTACGAGTTCGTTGCCGGCCTTGGAGATTAAGGGATTGAGATGGGGCGGTAGGATTGGGCCTCCGATTACTGTGACGGCGAAACAACAACGCTGTGGTTGTTTCACGTCGGTTTTCTATGAGGCCGTGGTATCACTCCGGTCGTGCCGAAGCATGGCTCTCTTCTTTAAAAGGCAGATAAAATTAGATATTAATATTGAAATTAAAAGCAGAAATCTAGAGTTCTTTTAGTTAGTAATTTGGGATTAATGGGACTATTTAAAAGTACTTATTTAGCGGGTTTTCAGGGGTACTGAGGTTAGATAACTCGGTGAATGTATTAGTGGATGATTGATGACTTAGTTTCGGTCAAGTATTAAAATGTTTTGCGAAGTATTTTTGGTACAGTCGATGAAAAATGGGCTGTGGGAATGGACTAGTCAGTAAATTAGTAAAGAAAATACGTGACGATGGGGTGTAATCAGTTTTAATGATATGTTCAATTCATTAATTAAAGGGCTGATTTTTCAATGGTTAGATAAAAGTTACCTGGGGAATAATTATGATGCTGTCGCGTCACAATGTTTATATAAGACAGTGACAGCAACAATTTTATTTCTTAGATAACATTTATCTGACTATTGAAAAATCTGCCCTAATTTATTTCTGGAGTTATAATATATTTAAAGATATTGATTAGTTTTATGTTCTCAACAGCTCGGAAAGCAAAGACTTCATACTTGGTATTAGATATTTATGGTAAGAGTTAAAGTTATACCGGAATGTTGTACCGAACGATAGCGGAATGTTTTTTTTTCTTATTTTTTGTAATATAATCCATTTTTTTATTGAGAAGTTTTTGAAAAGGTGATCAATTTTAAATTTATAGTTTGATCGATATATAAATTAAGGGTTAGTCAAATTAAGATGCACAGTTGACGCAGTGGCTGTGCAACCTAGTTCAATTCCCTTACTGTAATAAGAAATGTATAGTATGTTTGTAAACGCACCCACGACACGAGAGAAAATTCTAGTGTTTGACGTTTTCTTTTTGTACAAAATAGAAAATCTGAATTTTGAATTTCGTAATGTAGGAATTATTTTTCCACAGATTCATTATTGAGTTTGCCACTGAAGAAGAGTCAATCACAGAATTCGATGATATTTTTACCTAACAAGTTTAATTGTTTTTTTTTAAAGATTATAAAATAGGTCTTTTCCTATGAAATTGCCGTTTTGCATGGAAAAATTTAAACGAATTTTTTGATTTGAAATGCGATAAAAATGTAACACTAATCAATAAACAAATGACTACTTTTGGAAAAAGAATCCCATGTTTTTGAAACAACATAATTAGCCTTGGCCTAACATAAACTATTTTGATTTGAAATGGCCAGTACTGCAGAACGGCAATTTCATAGGTAAAGACCTATTATAACTGTCAATGTCAAAATTCATTTATTTTAAATAGACCAATACAGGCACATTTAAAAGTGAAACCAAAAAAGAAATATGAAAAAGATCAACTTTTATGTGTTGTCCTCTAGTGAAGCTATTTGCTCGTTCCAAAGTGTAGAATTCTATGGAGAAGAACGAGCAACAAACTCCATGGTTACTCTTTTTAAATCATTTTCAGAAATTATATATTTTGAGTCGGTTCTTTTATGACAATTAATTGATCACTCTTTTCAAAAACTGATTGTTAATTGGAACGTTAAATATAGTCTAGGAGATTGCCATTAGATTTAAATAAGTTTGTATGTATGTAAAATAATTAATAATTGTCGATTGGTTTTTTGTTGTTTTGTTAAAAAAAATCGGGTTTTTTAATGTTTTTTTTAATTTTGTTTTTTCCGAATCTCTTTTCTATCTCTCTCATTGGGTCTCTTCTCTTCTTTTAATATGAAACTTTGATTCTTTCATAAGCATGGTTCTGTCAATTTGACATAAATTCATTTTTCAAAATTAATATATTTTTTTACGATTTTTTGCTAAATGACGCATGATTAGCATGAAGAAAAAAAATTGTTTTTATTTTTTTACCGTTTTTCCGATTCGTTTAGTTTTTCCTTGCATGACAATTATTGAGAATCATTATTATATGTGATGAGTAGATTTTTGTATAGAATGTTTAAAAAAATGTATCCAAAACAATTTTCTACTAATAAATGTTAGTTGGCGGTTTTGTTGTTACTATTAAATGTGTTATAGGTTATTAGAAGAACTATATTTTATGTTGCCGCTTACTTAATTAGTCATTCTAGGATAAAGGCTTACAATGTATTTTTAAGTAATTGGTTTAATTTTCTGAGCTTAATTAATAAGTAAAATTGGGCCTTTTAGATCCCAAAAATTGTGAACAGCTATATGTATGATTTATTTTTCTGTTTACTGTTTTTTTTCATTATCTCAGTTTTTAAATGCTACAAGGTGCAATTCAATAATATATTTAGTATAGTAACTATAGTATAGTAAAGTCAGTATTATAAATGTGGACTCTTAGCCGATTTCATTCTATTTGTAACTAAGATGTTTTTTTTTTATTTGAAGTTTTTTTTATTAACTTTTTTCTGCGTTTCTACTTAATATATTTCTTATCTCCTCCTACATATTTAAAATTTCCACTTTTCTTTGATATACTATACCTGGATATCTTCTTTAATTTGTTAGATCTTTGTTAATTATTTTGTTTGTTTTTTATAAGACAATATTTTCTTTTTCTGGGTCATATTTATCAACTAATTTTTATTGAAAGATTTAAAAAGGTGAAAGACACATCAGCCTAAGATTTTGACTTATCCAGTCATATTTGTTCCATAATAAGTAAGTTTACTAATTAGAAAGTAAATAATCTACCATTTTTTTATCTCTGCATAACCCAGTGCTAAGATAATAAGGTAGAGCTCATGTCAGTAAACTAAAACAAAGAACACACACAAATTTTTTGAAAAAAGTGTTAGAAATAAATAAAATATATCATGTTTGGTTTATACAAAAAGAAAACACATGTTTTTAAAATCTTTCACCTAAATAATAGGAATCTTTAACATATATCTTTTTACAACATTTATAATATTATTATGATCTAAATCCCGCACGGAACAACTCTTTGTGTGATCCACAAATTGTTGTTCCGGGTCTGGGCGTGATGTGTATGTGAAATTGTATGTTTGTAAACTCAACTACGACATAGGAGAAAATCCCAGTTTGGGGCAACATTATTTTCTTAAAATCAAGTAAAACAATATTAATATTATTTTTTTTATATTTTAGGCGTGGAGTTAGACACTGGAGCTATCGTCGGAATAGTGGTAGCTGTACTGATTCTTCTTATAGCTATCTTCTTGGCTGTGTTTGCGTTCGCCACCGACAGATGGTGCTTTGCCGGTAAGTCGCATTTCTTTTTTTACATTTTACTGTGAATTGTTGATATTAATTGGAGCAAGAAATATTAAATTTTAATTATTTTTGCAATTAAAAAAAGGCGAATCTTATTTGCATGTATTTTAGCATGATATTCATTGAGATCTCTTACAAGGTTTTATTATCCCCTTATGACCTTTTTTATGCATTTTTTTTATTAGAAATGTTTTATCAGACTAATAAAATGATTTGCTCCATTCATGTTAACGATTCTGTCTTTTCGGTTTCAAAATAAATTTTTAATTCAAAATCTACTCCAGGAGCCTACAACTATAACATATAAATCATCATTAGTTACAAACAACACGAAATATTAATAAAACAATATATTTGCCAAAGAAAACCAATATAAGTTGACCTGTCTGAAGTTAGCTGGCGTACTATGGTCTCTTTCGCTAGTCGACCTGTTGTATTGACAATATGGTCGTTGATAGCCAATATCATTCCAATTTCTGATTATAACTACATTCCCGACAATATCTGTGAAACATGTAGATAGAACCAAAGATTTTTCGGAAAATAAGATTATTAATTCAATTCTTTTGACTGCACGGTTGGTGCGGTGGCTGGGCAACTGGCTGCCGTGCAACGTGTTGCGGGTTCGATTCTCGCACGGAACAACTCTTTGTGTGATCCACAAATTGTTGTTCCGGGTCTGGGTGTCATGTGTGAGTGAAATTGTATGTTTGTAACCGCACCCACGACACGAGAAAATCCAAATGTAGGGCAAATTATTTAAAAAAAGAAAGAAAAATTCAGGCCCGCAGAGAGGTCCACCACTGACGATGCTTAGTCGGGGCTACTGGGCAAGTGTAATGTGGTACCGCAGCCTCGGCCTAGACCGTGAGAAGAGACGGGAGTTTAGTCAGTAAGAGTCTGACACTTCATCTCGCCTCACCCGAAAGAAGTCATTTGATGATGTTCTCTTCACTAAAAAAGGCAATCAGAGAGGTACAGTCTACATTGGCTACATCTGGTATGCAGGTGAGAAAATAAAGAGCGACTCAGTAAGGAGCCTGTAGCTATTGTTACAGTAAATGATATGGTGTTTAATGAAGACATATCTGCTGTTAGCATTAGTCGGCTCAGTAGACTAACTATGGATAATGTCTCTCTATTGAATCTGTTTCTATTTTTGTATCACCATACCAAGTAATTGTGCAGACTGCACCTAACTTCAGAGAGGTCAAGATATATTGGTTATCATCAAAAGTAAAGTATTTTTTATTAATATTTCTCATGCATTGTGATTTTTATCCATGCTTTACAATCGCTTTTATTACAAACTATAGGCATGCGTATTTTACTCCTTTTTCCTGTGTTTTATGAACTTTATAATTAATTATTAATTAGCAATTTTCTGGCAGGCTCACGAGCTGTTGGTCGATAGGTAATGTTGGAAAAAAATTAGAAAAAAAAAGGAAATATCAAAAATCACGTTTTTCACTAACTGTTTTTCGGCTAGCACTGGTTAAGAAATAAATAGATCTAGTTTTTTAGATTAAATATTCAATTATCATTTTTATAAGTAAAAGGTTTGGCTGCTAAAGCTATTAGATTTTATATTTTTTCGAAATGGAACATTGCAATATTTGGCAAAATGGCTTTTGTGTAGTTTGTATAAGTTTCTTTTATATTAAGCGAAAATTATTACCTACATCAATATTTTGAGCGATCAAGAACGAAAAGAAAAATATCTAAAAAAATGCATGTTTTTTCATTTTTTTTTTGTGATTAACTAATTACTAAACTATGCATTTCAAATTATTTGACGCATGTGAATGATTTTATTTATAACATTTAGTTTAAAAAAAAGCATGACTTTTTATCTGAGAATGTTTTGCATGGCAACTGAAATTAGATTTTTATTTTTTATTCACTTAGGTGGCGAATATAAAAGGTGGTGGTTTATAAAAAAATAAATAACATGTGTTCTCACTTTTACTATGTAGTTTTTGGGCCTTTAGCTTATTTTGGTATCTAAGGAATATAGGTGTCATATGTTTTTAAATTCATGTTTTTTTCTATTGACTAACTAAGGTTTTATTTTGGTATTTTCTTCATGAATTTCTGGTGTTTTTTCAATGGATATAATCATAACATTATTATATTCATTTTCATAAAAAATACATTTGTTTTACTTCTTCCTTGAGTAAATGGGCAATACATTTAAACGACCAATGTTATGACAGTTCTTTAGACTGATTTCCAATCGGATGTTCTTGGTAATAAGACATGTTTAGACTGCAAATAGTTACTTTTAATATAGACATTACTTTTATTGCAAATGTACTGATGTGTAATGAAGTAATTTTATTCAAAATAAAACTTCATTCGTCTTTGTCATTGATTACCAACATAAATGGTGGAAGTCTAATCATCCGTTAGCTGGGATAACATTTCTTGTCATTGCGTTCAATTTGTTTAAATATCAATAAAAATAACTTAGATTAAGACTGGTCAATCTTTGATAATTTTATTTTAATCCCTTCAGACATGTTCAAAAGTCATATCACCGTACTTGGCGACCCAGATTTAAACAAAATGTTTCTAAGGAATAGTTTATGTATACATTTAATGTTTCTAAGTACTGCAGTTACAAAAGTATGTCATAATATGATACTTTTGAACCTTACAATGGAATTTTTAAGTACTACAGTTACAAAAGTATGTCATATAATATGATACTTTTAAACCTTACAATGGATCTACTTGTCAAATGTATATGTCACATCAGTCAGTAGTATAGTAAGAAGCCCAATCCAATCTCCTATTTAAAACTCAAAATCCTTAACCTTAGAAGGCCGACCACGAAACTCCTTTGTGTCCAAATGCCTTTTCAATTACTTACCATTAGCTAATTTGTCTAAAAAAGTAACTAAAACAAATAAGTAGAAGGCCCAAATAACACTATCACAAATCACAAACACACATAGAAACCGTTTGTCCGAAAAGCACTGCACACACACGGCTTGATTAAATACAAAAAAATAAACAAAGTTTCTTGATCGCTTAATGTATTGTACGGCAGGACGGTCCCATCGCACTGACATCCCCGATGGGGCGGATTCGGAGGCCCCTCTACCATCAAACGATGACATCAAGGGCTCCGAAAACCCCTCACACGACCACGGAGACTATATCAGCAATGGGGATACCAAGCATCCGGAAAAAAAACCGGACACGGCCGTCTAAACGTAAGTCTGGTCTCTGTCACGACACCTAGCGGTGGAACTTGGATAGTGTTTTTTTTAAAGTTACGAACTGCCTAAATGTAAGTAAGCGGTTTCAGTAAACAGAGTATATTTGTTTTTTTTTGTTGTGTTGTCATTATCTTGCCAAAATTTTGTTTTTTTTTTGTCTGTACGATGATTTTTTTTTGTATGATGTTTCGTAGATATTTTAAATTGATATCTAGCTGAAATCATAAAAAAATTACTTAGATTTTTATATGAGTTTAAAAAAATTAAAAAATATTAGTTGCACCTTAAATTTTTCGAGTTCCACTGTTTATTTCACAATAAATTCAATGTTTGAGTGACAGTTGCGTAATTTGGACTTATCGTTTATCCTGTGTCGTTAGTGCCACACGTGTTTAAAATTGTTACTTATTAATAAATATTGTATTTAAAATAAATAAATGTATGCAATTTTTAATAATAAAAATTCTAAAATATTAAGGAAATTTTGAAAAGATTATTATAATAGATAAAGATGTCAACCCAATTAGAAATCGCTTGACATTTATTAAGTCTACTGACTTATAATCAAATTAATTTTAATCTTTGTCCCAATTTAGTACTATGTACATTTTTAAAAGACTTACGTAAACATTCCCAGATATCTTGACTGCTTTTTGATATTAACCTTTATGCCAGTGATTTCTAGATGGGTTTTTCAAAATTTAGACTAGCACAGATTTGTAATTTGATGGAAAAATATTTTTTCCTTGTATGTACTCAAACCTTATAAAATATTACAGGTTTTTTAACTTTGCACTCGAGAAAAAGATACTTTATTTGACAATCTCATTATTTGACTACGAAAAGCTTGCTTACATTATGACATTAAAAAAAAATGTATCGATTTTTTTTCTCGTTTGCAATGTGTCATTTTTTTTTTGTAGGTTTTTACATGTGCGCCTAAGAATCTCATTAATAATGTAAATTAGTTAAAAAAACTTTTCGAAATATTATACATACATACATACATATTTGTGTAACAACGAAATCCCAACGCGTAAATTTAAGGCATTTTTAATAGAAATTAAAAAATATATATACTTAATAACGACGACTACTGTTTGGAGCACAATTTTTTTTCGGAAAAATCTCTTTTTACGTCTATACTTTTTCTAACTTAAATAGTTTTAGTAATTATTGTGTTACAAAACATTTTCGTTTTTTTTTTCTTTAATAGGTTTTTTTATAAAAATTTCGGATGATTTCATTTTAGTGTTAAGAATGGTTAAAAAAGCCAATTCTTTGCCAGTTTCTTTGACATAACTAGTGGCAAAAAATTGGTTAGTTTTTCCTTAATATTTAAGTTAAAAATGTGTTCGTACCACCATTAATATCTTGTATATATTATGTAGTAAACAAATAACTACCTATTGATAAGTTTTACCAGCTTAACTTCACTGGTACATTTAATATACAAACCACTTTATACTTATTTTAAATTAAAACTCACAACTCAAAAAGTAATCTTCGAAAAATTAAGTAAAAAAATAATTGTACGATCTGTTACAATTTTCATGATTTTTTTTTTCTATTCTTTTTGTAATTTTTTTAGTTTAATAAGTCACCAAGAATGTGATTTTTTAAGTATTTGTAATTAAATATTATTAATTAAGATTTTATTTTTGTACCAATTTAGTTTTTAGTGTATTTTAATTAACTGTTCTTACTGATTAAGGTCAATTAGTTTTGTAATGAACTAAGGACACTGCCATTTCGCACGTTTTGCCAAATTATTGCGTCTTTTCAAATCCGTAAGCTCAAATTATATGTAAGCTTCTATCTTTTCGAATGTCCGCCGAATTTTTTACTAAAAAAACATACGACAGAATGAGAAAATAAAAAAACCTTTTTTTACTAAAATAAAATCACTAAAATGCCTTTCCTTAATTAAAATTTAGGCATTTTTTTTAGTACCTACGCAAGTTTTTACCATGTTTTTCTTGTGATGTCGTATGTTAACTTTTTATGGGATTTAATAGTTTAATATTGTCACTAAATAAATATCAATCAATGTCTAAAAAGTAAACGGTTATGACTAAATATTATTGAAATATAAAGTATTTATTAAATAAGAATTTTGATGTTTTATTTTTCAATCATTTATTTTATAACCAGTGCTACATTAGGATACACTTAGAAACGTTAATTCATATACTATAATATTTTTTGTAATAAAAATATTTTAGAAGCAATAGCACCAATCGCATCAATCAATTAGATAGAACAGACTAAAAATCCCGACAACAACCGTCGGGCAGTAGCCCACCAGGCACAATACCTCATAGACTAAATAGAGATACTACACCACACCCGGCTGATCGGATTCTCCCTTTACAACAGAGGATGAGGAACTTTACACTCTCATCCCTCCAAAATAGTATAAGAACTCACACAAAAACATAATGTCCTGCCTCAGAAGGCGACATTCCGGGCGTCGGTAATCGAGATATGATCTCCGGCCACAGTAAGCGCGGGTCTGCGGACGGCGAGTAAGGTTAGCTCGCCGCCCGACCAGAACCAGGCCCGAGCGTACGGCGCGTAGCGTTCCGCGCGCACCTCAAAGAGCCATTCGACCACCACAGACGGGGCCCTATAGGGCTTATGTTCAGCCGGGGTGGAGGGGTAAGCGCAATGAGGCACCGCGACCTCGGCACAGCAGGAGAAGGAACAGGGGGGTTTTTAGTCAGTAAGAGTCTGACACTCCCTCCTGCCCTGATTTTCCCCTCACAAAAAAAAAACACCATACCCGTCTGATCGTAGGATCGTCCGTTTACAACGGAGGATGAGGATCTTTCCACTCTCATCCCTCCAAAATAGTATAAGAACTCACACAACAACATCATGGCAATTTGACATAAACACAATCATTATACTTAAACTTAAAAAACCTATATTTATACTAGCTGACCCGGCGAACTTCACCGCCTTGGTTACCGTAATTCGAAAACATGCGCTTCCCCAGACATGAGTTTGAGCTAGATCGATTTCTCGTCCCAGAAAACCCCCAAATTTAAGCGAAATCGTTAGGGCCGATTCCGAGATCACATGCTTTTTCAAGCAATCAACGCCATCTGCTGGGCAGATTTGTGAATCTAAACCAACAGGGGCCACTCAACGCATACAGAAAAAAACATTTAAAACGGTCAAGCCGTTAAGGAGGAGTCCAATTCCATGCACACGTACAGCAGAATTATATTTAAAGAAATTTGGAAATCTGTCCAATATCCAGCTCTTGTGAGACTGGAAAAACAAACACTACAGTATTGTGACACTGATGTCTAACAATCTTTAATGGTGTCACTAAAATTCATTCAATATGTTATGAGAGAGAGAGAAAGACAGAGAGAGAGAGAGAAAGACAGAGAGAGAGAGAGAAAGAAAGATAGAGATTTAACACAATGTTAGGTAGGTATATAGAAATTACAAAAACGATAAGTTTCTGCTGAAAAACCATAAAAAATATAGATCTAACATTATGACGAACGTCAACTTATTAATGAAAATATATTATAGATACTTAAGCACTCGTATTTTAGTTCTTAAAAAAAGCTGAAAAAATAATCATTTCATTTATACTAGCTACTCTCGCGCGGTAACACCCGCTGCTCGGCTTTCTTTGATTGTAGCGTTATGTTTTATAGCCTTAAGCACTCAGGAACATTGCAGCTATCTATCAGTGAAAGAATTTTGGCAATCCGACCAGCGGTTCCAAATATACCCCCTACATACAAACTTACAAATTTTACCTCTTTATAATATTAGTATAGAAAATAGTTAGTAAAAAGCACGAAACGGGTTATTTTTGACGTAGGAAACAAACCAATTGGCGTATCAAATAACAATTTAGAACTATTATAAATACTAAATTATAAAACCACGCTCAAAAGTTATAAATCTTATTTAGTCATTCCAGCTTATTTAACTGTAGGTACTTCCAATTCTAAATAAAATGTGTTACGATTAACTTTTTTAAGCAAAGATGCTAAAAGAGTATTTTCGCATGCCTGTACTTTTCAATCTATAATATACGTCTGTCTGAATCTTCTTATATATAAAAATGGATCGCAAAATGTGTTAGTAAGCGCATAACTCAACAACGCCTGGACCAATTTTGCTAATTATTTTTTTGTTATATTTGTTATTGTCAGGAGAAGGTTCTTATCAAAGAAAATATTAGAAAAGTAGTTGGGAAGATTAGGAAAAAGTGACCCTTTGATAGCGAGATAGTTGGACCCGTGTGAAGCGGGGGCGGGACGCTAGTATATCTATAAAAATGTATCGCGAAATGTGTTGGTAAGCACATAACTCCATAATGACTGGGCCATTTTTGCTGATTCTTTTTTTGTTATGTTCGTCATTTTTATGTGACGGTTCTTACGAAAGAAAACATTAGAAAAGTGAAGGGGAACATCGGGAATTAACAATCCTTTCGGTGCTGTCGCCGCTAAAAAACAAATGACTGACGGGGCTGTCGGATACCTACCCGTGCGAAGCAGGGGCGGTCCGCTAGTTACTAATAAAATCACATGAAGTAAACATTGTTGATATTATGTTAGAATTTATTACCTACGACATTTCTTATGCCTAAAATGGACTGTAATAAGGATGATTTTGAAACCTTCATCTTGGAACGAACTCCTAGCTTCATTGACGGCCATTTCTTAATCTGACGTTTTAAAAGTACCTGACTATTGTTAAGTTCGAAGTAGGTAAAGTATTTTGGCTTTTGAAGTAGTCAAACTCAAACATCATCATCATCAGCTTAAAAATGTCCACCGCTGAGAAAGTGTCACAAGACAGAATGACGATTTCAAACTTATCAACAGCGTATAAGTGCCCACAGCTGAGCAAAGGCCTCTTCTCACACGGAGGTTTGCGCATTAACCGCCACGCTTGCTCAAGGTGGATTGGCAATTCCAAACTTATAATTAGTAATTATAAGTCCAGGTTTCCTCAAGATGTTTTCCTTCACCGTATGTCAGTGGTGTCTAAATAATCATTGAAAGTACCATTGGTACTTGCTATGTTTCGAACCCTCATGCATGAGAAGCGGCCGCCTTAGCATCCGGGCCAACTCGACCATATTCAAACTTTTAATAATTGAAAATTATAAGTCTATAGTTCCGTACGGTGATTCTACATGAAATATTATTATATACTTTAAATATTATACCTAATATTATTTATAAAAATTACAGGAAGGAGCCGAGACCACACAAAAAACTCAGGCGAATCGTAAGTTTACTTATTTACTTTATATAAATAACACATTATATGTATAAATAGGGTCTATGTACTTCATATTTTGTGTAAATAAAAGTTGTTTTTTTTTTATAAATATTTGTAGCATCCTTACTTAACTTTCTTAAAACTTGGATTTTTCTTTATAAATGTGTTAACTTTTTTTTATTTAATTCAATTTTTTTATCTTTTATTTCAATGATATTATAAGCAAAATGGTATAGATAGGTTACGTAAACAACATTCGATTTTCAAAAACGGCACACTTATGCACACATTAATAAATTGTATGATAGGTACACGTTAAAGTGAGATGGCATGATTCAATAATCGCGAGTGAAAAAGAGACAAATATGAAAAAGTGTGGCTAGTTAGCCACATTTTAATGTATCACTTGCTGAGCGCTTGTAACCTATCTACACCTTTTTACTTATAGTATCATTGACTTATTTGTTTTTTCAAAGTTTATATAGTAACATCTAGATTTTTTTTACATGTTTGACGAGACAAAATTTCTAGGTTTATTTTTACCTAAAAATATTGTTTCGATCGAAAATCTACCGACAGAAAATTTCTTATTCGAAATTGGTTGTCATATTAATATTATTATACAAAAAATATTTTTTCCCGCAAGGACGCCGGCCGGGGATGTGCTTTTAGAGTCTGGCAACCCGCTTCCTAGAACGTACGTCTAACATTAATTGGAAATAGCTTCGCTTTACTACATAGTATATTATTATATCATAACACTATCCACAAAAAAATATTTCCACCCAAAACGAATGTAAAAAAATTGTTATTTGACATTTAAATACATATTGTTTTTGCCGCTCCCTAGATGGAGCCACTAGCGAGTAAAGTCCTGGCATTATTTAAACTTCATTATTCCCATCTTTAAGTCCAACTTTATTATCATTTTGGGTGGAAACTGTAAGAAAGTACGGGCACACACATGATTAAAAATGTTTTTAAAATTTTGCTCTTTAATTCAGGTAACAATTTTAAATATGTTTTTCGCCCATAGTTTCTGCCGTAGTAGGTAGATAGATGCTGTATTTTTTCTTATTACAAGTTGGTGGCGGGTGTATGTCATCATATATTGTATATAACATATTAATTTTAGTATACATATATTTAAAAGAGTTAATATTCTAGATCATTGATGGGCCAGCTGTTTCATAAAGAAACGAAAAGTTTGAATATTTTAAGAATGTTTTTAAACAAAAAGAAAATAATTCGTAATTTCTATTGAATACCACTACATATCATCAAGGGAAGGTGGCCCAATCTTTAACCTCACCCAAAATCTCCAACTCCCTAATCCCGCAAATGTCGGCAACGCACTCAAAACTCCTCTGTTTTTGCGCGTGTCCATGGCTGGCGCAGATTACTTTCAATCAGGTAATCCGTTTGCTCGTATGCCGAAATATCACATAAAAAATGTACCTTTTTTTGTCCGGGAGATTCATCAAGTGACCTCTCCCGCCCAGGGTTAGGCGAGAGAGAGTGTCACACTCTTACTAAAAACTCCTTTCGTTCTTTCTCCTGCTCTGGGCCGAGGCCGTGGTGACTCATTGCGCTTAACCCGCAACCCCAGCTGAAATGTACCTCATCATCATCATCATCAGCCTATAAGTGCTTACTGCTGAGCAAAGGCCTCTTCTCATACGGAGGTTAGAGCATTGATCACCACGCTTGCTCATTGCGGGTTGGCGATTTCAAACTTATAATAGGAAATTATAAGTCCAGGTTTCCTCACGATGAACCTTCACCGTATGTCAGTGGTGTCTAAATAATCATAGAAAGTATGTATAACTCGGAAAAAGTCACATTGGTACTTGCCCTCATCATGAGAAGCGGGCTTCTTAACCTCCGGGCGACCACGACATTTTAAGAAATGAACCTGCTTTAACCATATATCTATACAGACTACACCTGGCCCATTACAGATCTAGATTGGAGTACTAATTAACAAAGGGGCTTAAGATAGAAATAATATTCATATTGCAATGTATATGCCTTTATAATAAAATATATATTATATAATGGATTAGTTATCCAATAATATTATAAATGCGAAAGTAACTCTGTCTGTCTGTCTTTTCTTCATGCAATCATGCCTAAACTACTGAACCGATTTCTGTGAAATTTGGTACAGACATAGTTTTGAACTCTAGAAAGGACATAGGATAGTTTTTATACCAAAAATAAGAAGGAAGTCACTTTTCTTATATAAATAGAGTTACTTTCGCATTTATAATATTACTTTGTATTATAATGCATGCTGTGGTGTTTTTGTTTTGGTAATGTATGTACTCATATTGAATATGGCTGCGACATAAAACAGATTAAAAAAGTATGTATATGTATTGGGTAACATGGTTTTGGTTAATATTGGTTTCTGGTTTTAATTGTCCTTAGTTAATATTGCTAATACATTATATTTAGATTTAGATTTATTCCACTCTTTTAGTTTATTTAAGGCTGATTTTTCAATACACAGATAAATGTTATCTGAGGAATAAAATTGTTGCTGTCACTGTCTTATACAAACATTGTGACGCGACAGCATTATAATTATTCCACAGGTAACTTTTATCTATGCATTAATAAATCAAACCTTAGTAAGGAAAGTCTATGATAGATTGAATATCCAAAAGAATTATATTCTGGAAGAAAATTAAAAAAAAAAAACGTTATTTTTTTAATGTTATGTTTCAAATCAATTTAAAAACAAATATTACAATAAATTCTAGCCAACATTGCGATTATCCTCGCTATATAGGTACATATGTAGGTATACTTATTAATAAGATCACACATTTTTATATGTATGATTAGAAAGTACTAAGTACCTTTTTTATTTAGTTCATAGTTCATCGATTAATAATAAAAAAAAACCTTACTCGCAATCCAGTAGAAACCACACATATGACACAAACCTATAACCATCGATTACCAACCACTTTTAACCATTTAACGGGTGGTTGCTGACAACCATTGAACATCGATTTTTCGTTAGTAGTGACACTGAGAGTGCCGTTGGAGGGCGGGAGAGGTCGCGGCTTGCTGGTCTGAGTGCTCGAGTGAGGGCAGTCCTGCCGAGGGCCAAGGATAAGGTGCAAGCTACTGAGGCACAGACTGTGGACACTGAGGATAAGGTCAGTTTTAATTTACTTCGAACATATTCTATACTAATATTATAAAGAGGTATTTGTCAGTTTGTATGTAGAGGGTAATCTGATGCGATGCTTCGGCACGAATGGGTCGGCTCGACCGGAGTGATACCACAGCCTCACAGAAAACCGGCGTGAAACAACCACAGCGTTGTATTTCGCCGTGTGAGTGAGGTTTCCAGAGGCCCAATCCTTCCTCTCCCCCAATCCCTCCTCAATCCCTAAATCTCCAAATCCCTAATCCCTAAAAGGTCGGCAACGCACTCGTAACTCCTCTGTTGCGGGTGTCCATGGGCGGCGCTGATTGCTTACCATCAGGTTATCAGATTGCTCGTTTGCCGACCTATTACATAAAAAAAATCTTTGGAACCGCTGGTCGGAATGCCAGAATTCTTTCACTGATAGATAGCTACAATGTTCCTGAGTGCTATAGGCTATAAAACATCACGCTACGATCAAATGCAGCTAATTGGCGGGTGAAACCACGCGAGAGTTCATAGTTTTAATATGAAGAAAGAATAATTATAATTATGGTACAAGTGTGTTATGTTGGTGATACCAACATAACACACTATTATTATTAAATATATATTACTGGTCTTAAGGAGCCGAGGAAGCTAATTGCTCGTTCCAAAGAAAAAAGAGCAAAAAACTCCATGGTTACTCTTTTTCAATCAGTTTCACAATTCATTGCTGTTTCAATTTGTATCGCTTAAATAAAATAAAATACCTACAAGTTCATTTGGCTAACGTATTATGTAACTTGGGCAACTGGCTGCTGTGCAACGTGCCATGGGTTCGATTCCCGCACGGAACAATACTTTTTGTCATCCACAAATTGTTGTTTCGGGTCTGAGCGATATGTGTATGTGAATTTGTATGTTTGTACGCAATCACGACACAGGAGAAAATAGTATTATTATTATTTAGATCATTTATTTATTGATCAAATAGGTACATTTTAAGTTTTACGATGTAAAAAATGACCGCGTAACTATACACATATAGTTTATCTGTCGGATCAAAATTATTATTAATTGGAAAAAAGAATGGTGTAGGAACTTTAGTTAGTTAAATATTAGAAAATAGAATTCATCATCAGCTTATAAGTGCCCACTGCTGAGCAAAGGCCTATTCTCATACGGAGAAGGTTAGAACCTTGATCACCACGCTTGCTCAATGCGGGTTGGCGATATTAAACTTGTAAAATAGAAATTATAAGTCCAGGTTTCCTCACGATGTTTACCTTCACCGTATGTCAGTGGTGTCTAAATATTCATAGAAAGTACATATAACTCGGAAAAAGTCACATTGGTACTTGCCAGGTTTCGAACCCGCACCCTCATGCAGAGAAGCAGGCTCGTTAACCTCCGGGCCACCACGACATACGGTGAAGTAGAATTAAGTACCTATATAGAATTATAATTACTAGTGTGGGGCAAAGTTTCTTATAACGAAAAAATCCTTAATTAAATTGAATTAAATTGAGTACGCCATTAAAATAATTGTGTTTTTTCTTCTCAGCCTCTCTCAGATGACAAGAAAGGTGTAGTGTACGCAGAATTGGCGCTTGGAGAACAAACCTCAACGGAAAAACCTCCTCCTCCCTCCACGGAGTACGCAGAAATCGTGTACACAGACCAACCTAAAGATAACAAAGAAACTAATTAGATTTTAACATTAAAACCAACCATTTTTAATTTAAAGGTTAAAACAACCAACTGCTAAGAAAAAAACCAACTAAAATTATTATTTTTATTATGTATAATAACTGGTTACGTTAACCAGTAATGTGTGGTTTACGTTTATTATAACCAAAAGCTTTGGTTTTTCAATAAACAATTGACTTATGATTTATTAAGATTTCACAAAACTGGGTTTTATGTACCTAAGCCTATATTTTAAATGTTTTTTTTTCTTTATTTTGACCTTCTATAAAAAGTACTTGGTTTATAAACGACCAGTACCTTATTATATAAAATTTGAAAATTCTCCTCTCGTATGTACCTATGTATTAAGAACTTTATTAAAATTTCTTAGTTAAAACACGTAAATAGTACCTAATATCAAAAAAAAATACTTCATATCTGAAGTAATAAATGCATTTTCTTTTTCAGTATAAATTTATTATTAATTAAATCGTTTTATGAAATAAATTTGCTCATTGTTTTAAGAAAATTTTATCTAAATATCACAAAAAAAAAATATATTAAAGGGCGCGATGTTTTGAATCATTCAACTTTACCTATTTACATGTATGTATGCAATGATATAATAAGTAAAAAGGTGTAGATAGGTTACAAGCGCTCAGCAAGTGATACATTAAAATGTGGCTAACTAGCCACACTTTTTCATATTTGTCTCTTTTTCACTCGCGATTAATGAATCATGCCATCTCACTTTAACGTGTAACATACGTTTTATTCATGTGGGCATAAGTGTGCCGTTTTTAACGTTTTTGCCGTTAAAATCGAATGTTGTTTATGTAACCTATCTATACCATTTTACTTATAATATCATTGTATGTATGTATATCTTCTTTGATTTGAATATTCCACAATTCACATAAGTGATTTTCAATGATGATCATTCAAAATCATCACTTCATTTATCATTTCATGCGTTCGCCATTAGTCATTCTGCGCCGAAAAGATTATAAATTGGTAAAAAATATCATCATTGTCATCTTACATCAAAAGTTCATGGTATTCATCTCATAATCATCATCATCATCATAACATTTTACAAAAAAGTTTAGCTTTATCCCACGAAATTAATAAAATCATAGTCATCTTGAACACCGTGTGGGCCACGCTAGCGGAGTATTTGCCTTCAACAGTTTTCTGTCATCATACTCATCATTGATATTCATCATCATCAGAAACACAATCACTATCGATATTCATCTTCATAATCATCAATCATTATCATTCTCTCATCACCATCATCAGCCTATAAGTGCCCACTGCTGAGCAAAGGCCTCTTCTCACACAGACAAGGTTTGCGCATTAACCACCACGCTTGCTCAAGAATTGGCGATTTCACACTTATAACTAGAAATTATAAGTCCAGGTTTCCTCACGATGTTTTCCTTCACCGTATGTCAGTGGTGTCTAAATAATCATAGAAAGTACATATAACTCGGAAAATGTCACATTGGTACTTGCCAGGTTTCGAAATACGAAGCTCATGCATGGGAAGCAGGCGTCTTAATCTCCAAGCCACCACAGTCATCATCATTATCCAAATCATCACCAAAACTCATCATCATCATCATCATCATCATAATCATCATTATACAGTCACAAAAGTCCATTCCTTTCCTCCTAGATCCAATCTTTAAATTGAAACAACCATCAAAAAGAGGACAGCTAACTTCTAACTCCATTTAAATGTCATCAAATGTCTTCTCCTACCCTTGATAGAGCGAGAGAGAGTGTCAGACTCTTACCCCCTTATTACAAAACAAGGTTTATCTTTAGTCCAGGTTTAAACCGTTGAGTCGGGTTTTGAATTTTGAATCTTATTGTCATCTACCTTCAATTCGAAATACGAAAACTGGCTCAATGGTTAAGTCCTAGACTAAAGTAAAACCTTGTTTTGTAATAAGGCCGTTACTGACTTACCCCTCCCCCCCACCGTTCCTTCTCCTGACTTATTGTGTGTACTTCGCAACCCCGGAAGACACTTTTATTAGGTCAGATTTTTCAATGGTTAGATAAAAGTTACCTGAGGAATAATTATGATGCTGTCGCGTCACAATGTTTGTATAAGACAGTGACAGCAACAATTTTATTCCTCAGATAACATTTATCTGACTATTGAAAAATTTGCTCTAAAAATAAAATAATTTTCGAGGTTATTCAGGATAAACAGTCAGAAATTCGCGCCCCTTTTACATACATAGTGTATTAAAAATGGCATCACAGAAATAAAAAAAAAAAATATTTTTAATTTATAGTATTGGAATTATCCACCGAAACAAATTTTACTTTTTATTTTTTCACGTATTTATTTTGTCTTTTAATTATTATTATTTTTTTAATTAAGGAAAAGAGTTACTTTCATTTTAGATTTTAAGGTTTTTTTTTAATTGTAAGTTCGAAATTTCGAGTTGATTTTTAGTTTAAAAGTAATTTATTGAATTTTATTTTCTTAAGGCTGCTTTTTCTATAGTTAAATACTTAAATGTTATCTGAGGAATAAAATTGTTGCTGTCACTGTCTTATACAAACATTCTGACGCGACAGCATCATACATAATTATTCCACAGTAACTTTTATCTAACCATTGAAAAATCAGCCGGAAATGGCTATGTCAATATGACAAGGCTTACACATTTTGTTACAGAGAACTTATAAATATGAAACATGCTTTTTAGTTGGGTATTACACACCCAACAGAAGAGTGACGGTGTTTTTTTATTTCGCTTTAAAAATGTATCTTCAATTAATATACATTTCATGTAAATGGATTGGAAAAATTACCAATAAATACTTTTCAACTATAAAATTCAACTTGCTTGAGGTAAAGAAATCTCGTAAACTATTTAAAGATTTTAATAATTTTATTATTAATTAGTAAAGATTAAGATAGTATTTGTAAACGTGTGTGCTTCAAAATGATATTATTAATTGTATATTAGTTTTTATATACACATTGGCGGTTTTTTATTACGAAAATCTATGGGAATGTAGATCTTATTATAACAAATTAAACATTGATCGTCAATTCAAGTAATTTTGAACTTTATTCAATAGTCATAAAAGTGAATGTGAAAGCAAATAGAACTTTGTGTCCTTTTTTTTAATTTTGTTTTAATTTGCCGCCAATATAATAAAAAAACTAATGCTATGCTTGTGTATACTGCCTAATTGCAGACATTTTTTGTACGTACAAAATATTATCTAGATAATAAGTGTATTTTAAATATTTTGATGTCAAAGCAATGTACTCGTCTAAATCATTGTTATAACAATCGTCACTGCCTTGATAACTGCACAAAATATAGATACTTTTTATGAATACTTTGTCCTACTTGTAATGCCATCTAGTGGTAGTGCGTTGAAATTGTAATCGTGTTTGTCATCGCTAGATGGCGTTGTTTTCAATATATTTTACGTAGTTTATTTTGAGTTTTAATACAATTTATATATTTATTTTAATCCAATTAGTGAACTCTAGTTCCTAATATAAGAAAATTTAGAAAGCTCAGAGTATTTTAATTGTTCGAAATAGTGTTCATCGCAGTCTAAGAAAAAGTACCTACCTACATCACTGGAAATATTTTTAGCGTCTATTTCGTAACTATATAAAATATTTTGGGCACGTACGTACCAACAAAACCTATATTAAAACCATATTGTAAAAATAAACGGTATCTCTATAACTTAGGGTATAAAAATGAATTTATTTTTACTAGTAAAGACGTCAGGAGTCATATTAAAAGAGTTTAATATAGTGAAGATAAAATTTTAATTGTTCATTTCAAAAATCAACGCAAGTTCTTAACTAGAACGAGAGAGAGGGTTCTCTTTCTTTTGTAGGTTTATCGAAAATGTAATTTAAATCTAATTGAAGTCTGGAATCATGTCATTCTTTGACACAAATGGGCCGGCTCAACCAGATTTCTACCATGGCCTCACAGGATATGACCTTAAATCTTGGACTTGCTGTGTGAGTGGGGTTACCAAGTTCTCCCTCCCGCATCCTCAGTCCTCAAATTTCTGCAACCGGTAATGGGTTACCGGTTGCAGAAACTTGTCACCTTCTCTAGTGCTTTAATCAGCGCCGATTGCTTACCATCAGGTAATCCAACTGCTCATTATTCGACCTATATCAAAAACATGCGCTTTGAACATGGGCAATAGGCTAGTCCCTATTACCTAAATGGGATTTGGCGAAAATTACAAGTTAACAATTAAATTTTTTTCTTCACAAGAAATATATTATGATAAACTATCAAACAAATCCGTCCAGATGTAATGAATGTATATTGAAGGAAAAGTTTAATTTAGAAATATTAAATTTTCATTTTAATTTAATTTTAAGTTTTTTTTTTTTAATACCGTGCTATACATAGGTGCTTAGATCAACAGTAATATAAACATTATATTAAAATATTAAATAAATCTAAGATTTTTTTATATAACTTTACTATTTTTTTTTTTTGCATTTTGATAGCGTTTTTTTTTGTAAAGATAAATAGTTAACTTGTAGTATTGGTTTTATGATTGCAAACGCGGTCGCATGCAAATGTCTGTTGAGGATTTTTGTGTTTTTAGCATTGTCTTAAGATAAAAAGATTGGTAAAAAAAATCCTTTATAATAAAATACAAATCCAACTATTTTTGGATTGACTGAATTTAGATCAATTTATCAATTATAAATAATTCATTAATTTTACTGAGAAACCTAAGTGCTGTCAAAATGTAAAAAAAACAACTTTTTGTATAAAATATATACATATTTTACATACGGGGTGCTACTATTCCCGCAGCTGTTCACAAATGACATTATATAGGATGTCCTCGCATTGCTGTACACAATTAATGTTACTGTACCAACATTTTGTATTTATTGAAAAGCTTTTCGTGTACTTACAACATATTTTTTCTCTATGTACTTCGTAAATTAAATAAAAATGTGTCATTTATTTGAAGTTTGTCTTATTTCTTTAACCATTTCTCTTGTGGTGAGTCTACACAAGTCGTCTGTTCAGTTTGAAATATATATTCAATAAAAGATTTTCAATTTAATACCAAACTGCTTGATCCTCTTTTTCCAATTGGTTTAATTAAGTACATGTGTCATGTCAATTGGGATAGTTATTTTTACGTTAACGAGAATTAAATGTTACCTCTGGGTTAACTTAGAACCAATCAGAGCGGCTAAAGCCATAAACATGTTGATTGATTCACATCATCATCAGCCTATAAGTGCCCACTGCTGAGCAAAAGCTTTTTCTCACACGAAGAAGAATTTAGAATTAACTACCACGCTTGCTCAAGATGGATTGGCGATTTCACACTTATAATATATATAGAAATTATAAGTCCAGGTTTCACGATGTTTTCCTCCACCATATGTCAGTGCTGTCTAAATAATATTAGAAAGTACATATAACTCGGAAAAAGCCACATCGGTACTTACCAGGTTTCGTTACCCGCACCTTCATGCGTGAGAAGCGAGCGCCTTTACCTCCGACCTACCACGACACGAAATAACGTGTCGATATTGCACTCAACAAACTCATATTAAACACACTTCATTAGTTCCTTAAATCGTCATTAAGAAAATCGGGTTTGATTCCCAGATTGATTCATTAGATCTACTGGCTCTGAATCTGTTTTCCGCCCCCTCACCGCACACGTGAGAGGAGGGACATAAGTTTGGTCTTAAGTCAGTAAGAGTCTGTCAATCCTTTCGTTTACCCAGGCGATGGGTTTCAATGGGTACGGATTTTCCTCTCTCTAGCCTCAGGGCAAAAAGCTTAGTTCTTCGCATTTATGTTTGTTCTTACAGATGACGCACTTGTGGTGCTTTCCTCACATTTCTATTTATAAGGCTCAAATAACTTTAGGGTTTTTCATTATTGCATTTGTCCAGTGGTTTTTTTTTGTAAGGGGCAAATCATCAAATGACTTCTCCCGCCCAGGGCCGGCGGGCGGGAGGGAGTGTCAGACTCTTACTGACTAAAAAACCCCCCTTTTCCTTCTCCTGCTCTGTGCCGGGGTCGCGGTGCCTCATTGCGCTTACCCCGCAACCCCGACTGAACATCAGCCCTTTAGGGCCCCGTCTCTGGTGGTCTATTGTCTCTATGAGGCGCGCGCGGAACGCCACGCACCGTACGCTCGGGCCTGGTTCTGGTCGGGCGGCGAGCTGCCCTTACTCGCCGACCGCAGGCCCGTGCTTACGGTAGCCGGAGATCGTCCCTTGATCCCCGACGCCCGTAGTGTCGCCAGTTGCAGCTGCTGGGGCGTGAGGAGGAGGATTGCTCCCTCACGCGGGCAGCCTCTCTCTTTGCGAGCATGACTGCTTCACAAAAGGAGGAGACGGCGTCCCAGTTCCTCTCACTCCGCACCATGGCCTCGACTAAGGCCGGGCGCGAGTGGTCTCCGCCGCCGATCACTTCCCTGAGGACACGGCGGTGCTCAGCCCAGGCAGGGCATACCGCTACCGTGTCCTCTAGGTGGTCCTCACAATGACGACACTTGGGCGGATTTGTCCAGTGGTGGTGCCAATTGTTTACCGTTCGTTTCGTGTGATTGTTAACCTCTGTGTTGAGTAATTATTAAAATTTGTCATCATAAAATATTATTAGTTATAAGTAGATGATGCACTATGCTACAAATACTACAAAAATCTCCTGACTCTCGCCAATCTGATGGAAAAGTTACGGGAAAATACCTATTCAGTGTTGTAAACTGTGATTAATAATAAATATAAGGATATAGTAGTTTTTTGTTACAAGTCTGCAAATGTACTACGTGCTTTTTTAACCTAAAGGTAAGCAATCAGCGCCGCCCATGGACACTCTTAATACTAAAGGAGTTCCTTATGGGTTGTGGGTTATTGGGGATTTACAGATTGTATATTTGATGATTAGGGATAGGTGATAAGGCCTCCGGCAATCTCACTTACATGGTAAAACACAACGCAAGTGTTCTGTTAGGCCACGGACTCCGGTCGAACCGGCTCATTTGATTTTGTGTTGAAGCATGGCTCTCCCATACTTAAAAATGCGGTAATAAGTAACTAGAAGTATATTTTTTTGAAAACTTAAATAAAAAAATATTAATTAGTGCAAAAAAGCGGTGAAACAGGCTGTAAATGTAACAATAATCATTGTTAACTTAAAAAATGCTTTTTTTTTATGTGATAAGTCGGCAAACTAGCAGACGGATTACCTGATGGTAAGCAATCAACGCCGCCCATGGACACCCGCAACGAAGGAGTTACGAGTGCGTTGCCGACCTTTTAGGGATTAGGGATTTGGAGATTTAGGGATTGGGGAAGGGTCCGGGAAGGGGAAGGTTTGGGCCTCCGGTAACCTCACTCACACGGCGAAACAACGCTGTGGTTGTTTCACGCCGGTTTTCTGTGAGGCCGTGGTATCACTCCGGTCGAGCCGACCCATTCGTGCTGAAGTATGGCTCTCCCACACTTAGCATGGCTCTAGAAACTACCAATTTTAGTAGTTTTTGGAAATTATAATATTGCCACACAGGTCCTATCGATTCAATTTGATTATTTTGACATTTACAAAGTTTAAGTGTCATACAGATTTCAAAAGTTGAGAAATTCGTAAATATTTGAGGTTTTTTTGCCTGAATAGGGTTCTAAACGGCATAACCTCATATGAGAATCATCAATAATGATTAACTAAAGGAAGGGAAACCTCCATAAATCGAAGCGAGCCATGTGAATAGTAATAAAAGTGATAATTTAATTTTTTTAAGTTACCCTTTACAAAATCTGCAAAAATGTCCAAGAAGAAAGGAAAAAAGAATGTAATTCGAGGTAAATATGATATTTTTTTAATAACAAGTCGTATACTGGCGTAACTAGCGATGACAGCTTCCTGTACACGATTTGTTTTGTATATTTTTTCTTTGCATTTTCATTTTAATTTTCAGCTTAGGATTGTTGCTATTTATGAAAAAAAACAGGTGGCGACCACATCTAGTAAAAATTTGACATGATTGTTAATTATTAATAATTAAAACTTACAACAGCATTTTACAAAATGTAAATATGAACTATTTCCAACAGCACATTGGAAAATGTCAATATTAACTAATTAATAATTTTATTAGATATTTGTAAAATTGTTCTAATAAGACCAATATAGGCTCATATTAGTAAGAATTCTTACTTCATCAACTCTCAATCAAAAGCCGGTGTTTGCGCACCTATTGTCTTTCTAATTTCAATGATTTATAGGTTAAAGCACACTGCATGGAAAGGGTTCAACCCTTAGCACCTGTTTTATTGCCTCTACATAAGTTTCCAATCAACATATGTGGCTCATCATTCCCCTGGTTGCTAAGACCAGGAGAGTGTTCTAAAAAAAGAAAAATTTTGAACAGTAGAGAGGTACAGTACGGCCGACATTTCTTGGCGATTCTGAAGTTAGCCTGTTCTGAAATTCCATAACATATGGAAATAACAGATGGCATTATTGGTTGTGTGGTTGCAAGTGTGACTGCTGAGCAAGGAATCTTGGAATTGATGACTGGAATGGACAAAATATTATTAGTCTGAAAACTCACCAAAGAGTTTTTTTAAGACTTTTCCTGCCCTGAGTGAGATGAGAGATAGTGTCAGAGTCTTACTGACTAAACACCCCTCCATTCCTTTTCCTACTCTTAGCTGGGGCCTCGGTACATTCTTGCACTTGCATCCACAACCCTAGACACGCCAGAGCCCTGTATATCTTATTGTATACTTGCCTACCTATTACAAGGGTGAGAGAGAGCCATGCTTCGACACCACTGCCTCACAGAAAACCGGCGTGAAACAACCACAGCATTGTTTCGCCCTGTGAAGTTACCGGAGGCCCAATCCTTCCCCTCCCCCAATCCCTAATCACCAAGAATTCGGCAACGCACTCGTAACTCCTCTGTTGTTACGGGTTAGTTGGGCAGTGCTGATGGCTTATCTTCAGGTAATTCGTCAATTCGTTCGCCGCCCTATTACAAAAAAAGTGTACTAGGGTGTATGACGAAACATATGACATAAAAAATAATCCGAATATTATTTTCTTTTAAAATATGCTAAAAAAAACCAGAATTATTTGTCGATTAGGCTTTAATTTATGTTGCACACCGCTTTTTGCTTGCACTTTACTTTATTTGTACGTAAGGTTGAAAATTAGTAAATAAGTTGCATTATTATGTGACCAACTTTATCAACCTTTTTTCAAATAGGTTGTGCTCAGCTCAGAAGAGTATGAACTGCACTACCGCCATCTAGCTTCTACAACTATTAAACTGGGCTTTACCGTTACTAAGGTAAGGGCCTGTCACAATTTCGATCAATACAATCGGTAATTTTTCAGCTAATTAGGTGTTTTTAAATAGAAACTATCGTGAGAAATACTAAATTTATTAAAAACTAGCTACTCTCACGCGGTTCCACCCGCTGCACTGCTGATCGTAGCGTGATGTTTTATAGCCTATAGCTCTCCTCAATAAATGGACTACCAAACACAAAAGGAATTGTCCAATTCGTAGCAGTAGTTCCGGAGATTAATGCGTTCAAACAAACAAACTCTACAGCTTTATTTACAAAATTATTAAGTAAAGATTATATATAGCTATACTAGTTCAATAGATTCAGCTTCTTAGGTAATAGCATATTGAAAATGACTGAATTCGTTTCTTTTATAAGCCTACTTAGCGCATAGGTGTCGTGTAACATTCCCAATATATCAAAATGTACATAATAATCAGCTAAAATTGTATCTTTACAGATTTCACTCTCAATGATTGCGCAAACGCATCAAAACCAATACGAGAACTTAGGAAACCGGCTGTAATAAATCCAAATATGGAAAAAAGTTGGGACGAATTAGACGAGGATTGCGAAGTAGAAACGGAAGTTCAAAATGGCCTAATAACTCTAGTATGTAAAAAAAATAGGAAGAAAAATACGGAATCCCCTATAGACAATCGACCGGGCAGAGATTATCCAGAAATCATTTTCTACCACCTTTCTAAGTATATTAAACCCGAGGACATAGCATCTTTCGCTAGAATCAACAAAGCGGCTCACTTGGTGACGAAAACGAAAGCCTTTTGGATGCTACAGTACAAACGTTATTGCGAAAATCACCCGAAATTACCAGAAAAACTCCGATTCGAAAGCTTAAAGTCCTATGGGTTGCGTCAGACTGTCATAAGGGCGTTACACCATACTTATGATATTTTGAACCATAGGATTGTGAGGAAAGAGATCCCCCCCCATCGTCTGGTCACCTGGGTGTGCGTCAATGTGTGGTACAATAGGGGATTAACTTATTGGAATGTTTATTTTAAATTAAAAAGACCGCAGATGTATCATAATCGAGTTAATTTGGATAAGGATTTGATTGAGGAGATGGGACGGATTGATGCTAATCCTGAAGAAGGTGCTCAGGTCTTGATGGTATGTAGAATAGTATAGTTTTATTGTATCATTAACTGTTTTTCTTGAGTGGGAGAATAAATAGTCCTTAACCCTTTGACCCTGGGTCTGCGGACGGCGAGTAAGGGTAGCTCGCCGCCCGACCAGAACCAGACCCGAGCGTAAGGCGCGTAGCGTTCCGCGCGCGCCTCAAAGAGACAATAGACCACCACAGACGGGGCCCTATAGGGCTGATGTTCAGCCGGGGTTGCGGAGTAAGCGCCATGAGGCACCGCGACCTCGGCCCAGAGCAGGAGAAGGAACGGGGGGTTTTTAGTCAGTAAAAGTCTGACACTCTCTCTCGCCTTACCCTGGGCGGGAGAAGTCATTGGATGATTTTCCCGTGACAAAAAAAAGGCTTACTAATTTTTTCCTCTTCTTTGACAACATGGGATACGCATTTAGACCATTCGGTAGCCGTAATTTTTTGAATGCCTTCCTGAAACTGATTCACTGATTGTTTATCGAGTTTTGTGTTCATCACTACAATGTTATATGTGGTATCCTTATTTCATAAAAACAGTAGCTCATGTCAAATCTGGAATCGGCTTAAAAATTCTGACTATAGTTTTCAAGTTGTCACCTTACGGTAGATGGGTAAAAAACGCGCCTCAAAGAGCCAATAGACCACCACAGACGGGGCCCTATAGAGCTGATGTTCGGCCGGGGTTACGGGGTAAGCAATGAGGCACCGCGACCTCGGCCCAGAGTAGGAGAAGGAACATGGGGGTTTTTAGTCTGACAGTAAGAGTCTGACACTCCCTCCCGCCCCACCCTGGGCGGTAGAAGTCATTTGATGATTTTGCTTGATCGATCGACCTTGGAGTATTATTATGCTAACTACAGGCTTTAATGGCTTTGAAATAAATTATACTAGGTGCCATACAATGTGTCGCGGGTCTGATTCCCGCACGGAACAATTCTTTGTGTAATCCACAAATTGTTTTTCCGGGTCTTGGTGTGTGTGTATGTGAAACTGTATGTTTGTTAACGCACCCATGGCACAGGAGAAAATCTCAAAGAGCGAAAACGTCTCATTATAAAAGAGTACTTGTTTCTTTAATTTGTAGGGGATCATCAAGTTACTCCTTCCACCCTGGGTAGGGCGAGAGGAAGTGTCAGACTTTTACTGACTAAATACCGTCCGGTTCCTTCTGCTCCGAATCGGGGCCGTGGTAGATTATTATTGCGCTTATACCCTCAACCCCAGCTCAGTGAGTCTTGTGTTCAGTGTGAGGCTTGTGTTTTGTGAGGCCCATTTTCCGTCTGTTATTTTTAAATAAGCGGACGGACCACCTGAAGTTAAGCAATCGACACCACAAGCTTCAGAAGAGTTAGGAGTGCGTTGCTAGTTTTTGCAATGTTTTCATCATCATCATCAGCCGGAAGACGTCCACTGCTGGACAAAGGCCTTCCCCTTAGTCCTCCTCGCCAAACGACACGTTGCCACCTGCATGCATTGGCTCCCCGCGACTCTGACGATGTCGTCGGTCCACCCAGCGGGTAGCCTGCCTACACTACAATGTTTTAAATATTCATAATTTTACTTATTACCTTATCTTTGTGAACACTTCTAAGCGTCCCAAATACCATATTTTTCTTTTATGTAGTAGAAGTCGGCAAACGAGCAGACGGATTACCTGATGGTAAGCAATCAGCGCCGCCCATGGACACCCGCAACGGAGGAGTTACGAGTGCGTTGCCGGCCTTTTAGGGATAAAGGTTTCGGATATTTAAGGATTGGTAAGGGATGGGGGGAAAGGGGAGTATAGGGCCTCCGATAACCTCACTCACACAGCGAAACACAACGCTGTGGTTGTTTCACGCCGGTTTTCTATGAGGCCGTGGTATCACTCCGGTCGAGTCATATTACCATTACCATACCACATTAATTAAACATAAGAAGCCATTTTTTTGCTGTGACAAAAAAAGCACTCTCTCTTCTCTTCTTACTCTTTTCTCTCTTCTCTTAACTCATTTACAATTTTTAAAATGGAATTTCTGCTAAAAATTTCAGGTGACTTGCAAAGGTTTCGACAGGATCCCCCCTCTTCAAGGCATGACCTTGTCAGCGGTCAGCATGGTTCTATCGCACGGGTACAGACACCATACCCTGCACCTTGGCTTCAGCAGTTCCTGTTACTCCGTCAAAGGTATCGTACCAGAATGCGAGGTAATCCTAGATGCTGTTGTCAGAGCCCTCGTTTGTGATTGGTGGCACCCTCAGTACCCCCATTCAGGAAACTTTGTACCAAGACAGGATCCCCCGCTGTTGTTAAAGGATTTCTTCGATGATGAAGATGGTTCGTGAAGGTTTTTTGGCTGTTTTTTTTTGAACTTTAAGTTGAACTTAGTCAGGTAGCTGGTTGACGGAAAGCTCGACTAGTTTCAACCTACGTTGGGGACCCATATTCAGTCCGGTTTTTGTGAGAAATCATCAAATGACTTATCTCGCCCAGTTGGGTGAGGCGAGAGGTAGTATCAGACTCTTACTGACTAAAAACCCCCCTTCTCCTGCTCTGGGCCGAGGGCGCGGTGCCTCATTGCGCTTACCCCGCAACCCCGGCTGAACATCAGCCCTATAGGGCCCCGTCTGTGGTGGTCTATTGGCTCTTCGAGGCAGCGTAAAGCAATACTTATTAAGGGTTTACACGAAGCCCAAGCCTTCCCTGCCCCTCAATCATCAATCATTAAATCCCTAAGAGCCCACCATAGGCCGGCAAAGCGCTTGTAGCAACTCCTTTAGTATTACGAGCGTCCATGGGCGGCGCTGATTGCTTACCATCAGGTAATCTGACTACTCATTTGCCAACCTATCACATAAAAATAATCAGCGTCGAATATCGCATGAATATGAGTCCTATCTTGGCTTGAAACTAGTCGAGTCTTCGTCAAACAGCAACGTGGGTAACTCGTTAAATGTAATAATTAATTTGATATTGTGTTGTTTAGTTTTATTGCTGTGTGTACAGATAGGTATTTTTGTCAATTTCCTTTTACGTTTCTAACCCCCGATTTCCGAAAGGCCGATCAATGTTAAAATCAATTTAATCTCTTGTCAAGTCATCTGATGGGTTGACTGAATTATCAACAACCAATCAGATGACTGACAGATAGACAACACCTAGTTAGTTGATTTTAACATTGATCGGGCTTTCGGACACCGGGCATAAATGTAGGTACAGTTTTGGTAAAATCTTGATGTTGTAGCTCTAAGTTACAATGTTTTGTGTTTCATGAATTATTTCTAAAAGCTTAATTATTTTCGAATTTGGCTTAACCAGAAAAACGGATTTTTAAGACAAGTTTTTCTGTGCCAAAAGCTACTAAAAGAATTTTCGATTAAAAAAAAAAAAAATTATTCTGTGTAAGCGAACTTCGAAAAACGAAAAGCTTTTTTTAGCTAAAATGTTACCAGTGCAAAAAAAATCGTTTAACAGAAAAAAAATTTTTTTTTTCGTTTAAGCGAAGTTTTGTTTTTTGTAGGTAGCTAAAATGATACCATTGTTGTACATATGTACATATATAACGAAATTTAGAAAAATCAATGTTTCTATTGAATGTTTAAATATGCAGTTAGATAAAAGATTTATGTTAAAATTGACAATTTTGACTTCCATTGTTGACATTTATGTGAGCCGCTTTTTTTCAAATCTAGCTCATAAATTCTAATAGACTTTCTGATAGGATAACCAACGAATAATTTCACATATATTTTCTACGCGAAATGTGTCAAATTATTTATGTTTTACGGTTTATTTTAAATGCTCGAACCAGTTTCAAGCTACGCTTAGCAAAGTCATAAGGCTGTCTGAACACAACGCGGCAAGCCTAGCTTAGCCAACTAAGCGTGGGAGAGCCATGCTTTGGCACGAATGGGTTGGCTCGACCGGAGTGATACCACGGCCTCACAGAAAACCGGCGTGAAATAACCACAGCGTTGTGTTTCGCCGTGTGAGTGAGGTTACCGGAGGCCCAATCCTTCCCTTCCCCCAATCCCTGCTCAATCCCTAAATCTCCAAATCCCTAAAAGGTCGGCAACGCACTCGTAACTCCTTTTTACGGTTCGAGCCAATTGCTTAACATCAGGTAATCCGTCCGCTCTTTTGCCGACTTATACCATAAAAAATAAGGCGACAGTTGTTTTAAAAAGAATCCTCGTTTAGTCTTCTGATTGGTTGAATATCATAAACACTGTCGGTCTAGGAAATTAACTAAATGTAAATAATCTTGGCATGTCTTATTGTCTAAAAAATGTCTAAAAACTGAATGAAAAAATGTTTACAATCAGGTATTTACCTAAATCGATGTTAGCTAACTTAATTTAAATAATCATTGTATGTATTTTATAAGACGTCTTTAATATAAAAAGACATGCCAACATTGTTGACCTTCAGTTAACTGCCTAAATCGATAGACAATAGGCATTCTGGTAAAGTTTAACCTAAAAGTTAGAATGAATAAAAAAATATTTATGTCTCATGAGTTTAAAAGCCACTTAACAATCAGTGATTGTGATATAGGTACCTTACCGTTACAGGGTGATTCTTCACATCAATTAAAAAAAAATTAATAATGTCATTATCCTCAACCGAAAATTAACGAGTCTGCTGATTAAAACACAGATAATTATTTTATTAAATTAAATCTCACCACTGCTTACAAGCAACCGATTAAAAATATTGTATAAAATAAATTACTAAGATGCTTAAAAACCTGGGAGGATAATGACTTGTTAAATAAAAGTTAAGGTTTTTTGGAGAATCACCCTACAGCGTCAAAGTCAAAGTCATTTATTCCAACTAAACCATAAATAGGTACCATTGAAACGTCAAAATAGAAAAGTAGTCTGTCAGTCTGTTCGTCAGTGAAGCTAGGTGCTCGTTCCAAATTGTAGATTCGAATGGAGAAGAACGAGCAAGAAACTCCAGCGTTACTCTTTTTTAACAAAAATTGTTTTACAATTTCACTAATATAACATTTATAGTATACATTATTGTACCCTTATGTGAGAACAATGCAGAGACAAGTTGTAAAAAAAAAGAACAAATGATGGGACGTATGGAAAAAATATATTGAGGTATATTATATAACTTGTATATAATAAAAAAGTATTTAAAATGTTCACTTCACAATTAGTAAAATTTTCGACCAACCAGTAACCCTTACCTTTAGCTGTCAATCTATTACAATGTACAAAAAACTATTTATATAGGTACTTACATACATATTTATATTATTATTATTTATTTATTTATGGAATGTCTTAAATGTTTGAGATAATATGGAGTACCGTAAGTTCGGGTTACTTTGACCCTGGGTAACTTTGATCCAAATTTTCGAACGAATGAAAAACTAATATATGTTTGGTTCTCAGTTATTATTGGTTAAAGGGTTTGGATCAAAGTTACCCCGCAGGGTCAAAGTAACCTGAACTTACTATATTTGGGTCTGAAATTTTCAAATTGTGTCTTATATAAGTAAATACATATATGTGTAAATATTGAATGTTAAATGTATCTTGTTAGGTCTGTTATTGTCAGAAGAATATTCTTATTAACGGTTATTTTAGAAAAGTTATGGGGAGAATCAGGTACCTATATGAAATGTAATATATGTTTGATGTATAATAGAAATATTTATTTGTATAGTTGCAAAAACTTCTTCAAATGTCGACAAGGTACTTATGACTGATCTGGTGTCCATGGGCGGAGCCGATCACTTACCTACATGTGATCCGTTTGGCTCCAATGACAACAAAAAAATAGGTTACGGTGCGACTGAAAAGTAGTATGGAAACTGCTTAAGACTATTGTATTTTTTTTTTGTCTTAAAATACTCAATTGTATGGCTTTGTGTTTGACTAAGAATATTTAGCTAGCGATTGTGTAATTTTTGTAAAGGACGGAATCAAAACTTTTAATATCTATTTAATTAATGATGTCTCAATAATTGTCAACAATTTATTTGAGAATTAAAAACAAAAGGAACGGATTGTGATCGTTTATAATATCGGAAAGAAGGGTCAATGTTAGATGTATGTATAGATATAAAACTCGATTTATGTAAAACTGATCAATGTAAGTTTTTATAAAACTCTCCCGTTGTCTTAAAATACTCAATTGTTTGTCTTTTTTATTTGACACTAGCTATTCTCGCGCGGTTTCACCCGTTGCTCGGTTCCATTTAATCGTAGCGTGATGTTTTATAGCCTGTAGCACTCAGGAACATTGTAGCTATCTATCAGTGAAAGCATTTTGGCAATCCGACCAGCGGTTCCAAAGATTACGCCCTACATACAGACTTGAATATTTTACCTCTTTATAATATTTAGTATAGATATATTTGGTTATGTTAGGCCCTCTCTCTCCCGTTCCCGGTGTCCGAGTGTGTGTCAGACAGCACACAGCTGTAACTACTGCGTGTAGCAAGCTGTGTGACATGTAGTAGTGCTAGGGGTGTAGGGGACGATCTCCGGCCACCGTAGGCGCCGGTCTGCGGACCGCGGACCCGAGCGTACGGCGTGTAGCGTTCCGCGCGCGCCTCAAAGAGCCAATAGACCACCACAGACGGGGCCCTATAGGGTTGATGTTCAGCCGGGGTTGCGGGGTAAGCGCAATGTGACACCGCGACCTCGGCCCAGAGCAGGAGAAGGAACGGGGGGTTTTTGAATCAGTAAGCGTCTGACACTCCCTCTCCACACAGGGCGGAGACTTTTGATTTTCTCTTCCCCTCATAAATTTAATATTGATCAGTTTTTCAAAAATCTACATTAAATGTGAACTGTGTCTTTATGATAGAATAAATATATGAATGTTTTTAATATCATATATCATAAATTACTATGTCAAAAGTCTTTCAAAAATGATAGGAATTATTGTAAACAACAAAAATATCTATGATAGTTACAATTAAAAAAAAATCATCGTTTGTAATTATGTCAAATTATCAAAAGTCGCTGTTGTAGATATGTAAAAAATATGCATTGTATGTTTTTATTGTAAGTATTTATAATTCGTTTAATTATTTCCTTCGGTCGAATGTAAATTTTAAAAAAGTATTCCAGTTTTTTAACTTATTTATTTATTTGAGTACAAGTTATTTTGCTTAAAGCAATAATACATCATGTTAATAAGACATTATTAAACCATAAAATTGATTTGCTAATTGTTTTGATTTGTGATATTAATGTTACTTGACGGATGATGATGACAAACGTCGTAAGTACTCAGAAACATTAATTAATGGTTACTTATCTCCAAGTCCGGTCCAAGTTAGACTGCACGGTTGGTGCGGTGGCTGGGCAACTGGCTGCTGTGCAACGTGACGCGGGATTCCCGCTTGGAACAACACTTTATGTGATCCACAAATTGTTCCGGGTCTGGGTGTGTTGTGTATGTGAAATTGTATGTTTGTAAACGCACCCACAACACAGGAGAAAATCCTAAAGTGGGACAACGTTTTCTTTAAAAAAAAGTCCTAAGCAATTTGTTAGGTATCGCAGGTCAAAAATAAATTAATTCGACGTTTCAATACAATAAAATATTGAATTATAAATATACAACGATCTGCTGACAAAACTCTAAACCATTTGACACAAAAAATTTGGAATTTCATTCAAATTTCGTAGAAAAGTAAGTATAATTTTTGACATTTGGTTAAAAGTATTGAATTTGACTTGTTGGAAATTACCGTATTATTACCGAAAAACCTTGTTTTGTACGAAGGTCGTTTAGGATTTGATTACTGGCCAAAAGATGGCGTTACTAAGATCTTGATGTAAATACCTATCTATG